GAGGGAGCTGGGGTGGCAGCTGCCCCTGCGCGGGGGCGACGCTTGCGATCGTCCTGGAGCCCGAGACTGTTGGGTTGTGTGTGCGGGTGGAGAGGACTCGGTGGCTGTGGGCGGTTGAGGGGCGGGTCGTGGCGCAGCTGGCCCCCTTGGAGACACCTCGGATCACGGGATGGAGGCGCCCGGCAGAAGGGAATCTCGCCTTTGCGGGAATGAATGAAGAGCTATGGAAGCGCCTTCCGACTCCTCCGGGCGAACGGATTGGCCGGCGTGCGCGCGTGTGTATGCGTGAGTGTTTAGGATTCGGAGCCGCCAGGGTCCTGGGCGCGGCTGCTGGACCTTCCAGCCGCGGTCCTGGTACCCACGTTGCCCGCCCGCCCTGCGTCCGGGGTCTGCCTGAGCGGCTGGAGCAGCGGGTGTAGACTGGAGTCTGGGGCTCGGATGCCGGCTGTTGGCGGCTGGATGTCCACGCTTTGAGTAGAGAGGTTGAGAAGGAGGCGGCACAGGCTGGGGCTGGGACCTGGTCCTCGTGCCCCCATTTTCCTGTTCCCCGAGGCCCTTCGCTGTGTTCACTCTGGGTAAGTTGATGGCACGGAGTTTGGGGGAATGAAGTTGTATCTCCAGGACGCCCCACGAAGAGATGTGGCGCACCGTTCAGCGGGCTGAGCGGAGGGCTTCGCAGGGCCCCAGCTGCTCTTCATCAGCTGTTGTTCCTGGGAGGGCAGCCACTCGCTAGTGGAGCAGAAAGTCAGCCCGGGGGCATCTGCTTCCCTGAGGGACTCAGGTGGAAACTGAGGCCTGGAGATTTGCCCTAAGTTCCTCTAGGACTTCCCACACCATCCTCTAACCCAGCTTTCTTACTCCCCCACCCCCACTCCAGCAGCAAAATCAGGAACTCTCCCTTCCAGAATGTGGCACTTATTAATTTTACCAACTGTACATTGAATCAGGATGTCTTGATTGGTACGTGAGTACATGCAAATCATATGTGAGCTAGTTTGAAACAGCAGGGGAATAACACTGCCTTTTAATTAGATAGTTTTTATCAAATATATTTTGCTCTCCAATACTCCTGAAAGATTGGCAGGAAAATGTTCTTCTTGCCTCCTGCTGGATAGGGAAACTGAGCCAGCAAGGTAAAGTGGCTTGTCTCCCTCCCAGGACATAGGTGCATAGGTGAGCAGAAAGTGGAGCTGCAGGGCTGTCTTCCCTCCAAGGTCCAGCTCCCCTGGAGAACCATCTCTAGGGCCCTCTAAAGGAAATCCAATGCTTTTGCTCCCCCCCTCCCCCGGGTATTGCAAGGCTGCAGTGAGCTGCCTTGTGGGTGAAGCAAGCAGAGTTAATTCATCCGGGATATTGTGTGTGGGGTGGAGTGACAGGTCTGTCCGTAGTGCTTCCCACGTGTGCCTTGCTTTTCTTTGATGATCAGATGGCCAGGGAGCCCAGCACGGTCACTGTGGCTGCCGTGAGGGCTGCTGTGTCTGTACCTTGCTTCTCCTCTGTGGCTGCTGCCCCTGGCCAGGAGAGGTGAGGCATTTGGTTTTCCACTTGCCTGAAAGAGAGATGATTAATCCCTGCATCTGGAAGAGGTGATGTTTGCAGGAAAGTATGGGAGAGGTTGGTAAGTGGGCAGTGGACTCTGCTTTAATTGGTGTCTGGAGAAAGAGCAGAGGAGAAACTCCAGGTTAACCAGTGGGGCCACGGGAGCCTGAACGTGCACTAGTGGGAGCTTTAGGTTAGTGCTGGGTTGTGATGAGATAGTCCAAGACCACCTAGAGCCTGACTGGAGGTTATCTGGGCTAGCTATCGTAGCTAGCACCAGGGAGCGGGCAGAGGGGGAGGACTCTGGGGCTGCCCTGAGCAGGTGAGCGCATGCCCTGCCTAAGAGGGCAGCTTTGACTCAGCTCCAGTCAGTTGGGGGGAAAAACCAACTTGACAGATCTTGTTAATTTTCAAGAGAATTCTCTAGCCTGGATATTTAAGTGTGTGCTTAAATTCTTGAAGTGGAATAGAGGGTTAGGGGTGAGTGCTCTGCCGAGAGGTCTGAAGCTTGACATCTGGCCCTGTGTTTGTACATTGGGAAGGGTGTCCCGCTGTCAGAGAGATGTGACACATGGTAGGCATGGGGATCACACCCCCCGAAGACTGAGGGACTAAAAATTGATGGGTGCCCAACGTGCCTGTGGCCATGTGCCAGGCTCCTTCACGAGCTGGGTGTCATGCATCCATTCAAGAGCTGTTTGATGAATTCTTGTCATGTGGAAAGAGACACTCTGCATAAAACTTTGCATATAATTTCATTTATCAAATAGTACACATAATACAGTGGTGAGACAGAGTCCCAACCCTCATAGGAGGGGAGCAGGCAAAAATGCCTGTACCTGATGGATGAATGAACAGTGAACTGCGTTAAGAGCTGGGAAGGACAATAAGGCAAGGAAAAGTGCCAGAGAGGAGAGGGCTGGGGGGCGGAGGAGGCTCCTTTTTCTTATGTGGAAACTGAGTCTCAGAGCAGTGGGTCCAAAGTCACACGCCTGTAAGTGGAAGGTCAGCCCAGGTCTCCGCTCTCCAGCTCCTGGGCAGCTCTCTCCTCCCCGCCCTGCTCGGCTGGAGCCTCTTGGAAACTCCCAGATGAATGTACACTCGCTGTGGTGGGCAGCTTTACCTTCCTGTTCGCATGTCCAGACCCTGTCCCTGTCCCCAGGCCTCAGCAGGCCCAGGATACAGAGGTGCCATTTGGAACCCATTTGTATGAGAGAGGAGTTTCCTTAAATTCTAAAAGCAGAAACTATTTTTAAACGGAGCTGGCCTGGGAGTGTCATTCTGTGAGCACTCCCTCACTGGGCATCTCTTTAGCAGCACGTGATTTAGAAGGGATGCTTTCAGCCACTGGTGAGAACAGTGCATCTGTCTGAGTGTCAAGGAGCTCAGATGATGCTGACTGACTTCTGTGGTGAACGTGTTGCCACGCTGTGAATCCAAAGCTTGTCTTCTCGCTTAGCTGCCAAGGTACCAGGAGACTGTTTTGACTTGCACGGGGTGTTTCTTCATTGTTCTCAAGTGCCGGGGTCTGATTTCCTTCCTGAGACGCTCCTCCTTTAAAATGAAGCACTGGGACGAGATGATTTATGTGTTAGACCCAGGTCGTCATGGCATGAAATGAAACGTAAAGGTGGCAGTTTTCTAATGAGGGTATCAGTCTCCATATGAGGGAAGAAAAGTAAAGGTTTTGTGTTGCTTTGGGCCAATACAGACTTTTTTTTTGAATATGGGAGTTGGGATGGAAAACATTTGGTCCAAACAGCTGTCGTTTCCTGGGTTCCTACCGGTTCCTAGCTGGCCCTGTGCCAGGCAGTTCAGACAGGTGTCCCCCTTTGTCTCAGTCGGAGAATGGGGAGGCCGTTTGAGATCATGGGAACTAAGCTTTTAGCCATCGGGATGTGCAGGAGGAAGGATCCCAGAATGGCAGTGGAGGAAGGAGGGCAGTGAGGTCGGGGGTGGCGAATATCGTGGCTCTAGAAGGGGAAGGCGGGCGTGAATCAGCAAGTGGTAAGCTGGAGGGGGGTGTCGGGGGGTGGCGGAGGAAAGCAGGTTCTTGGTCTCTGCTGATTTCGAAAGGGATGTGGAGGAAATGCGAGCATCCTCTTTCATCATCCGCAGCTACATGCAGCATTTATACATTCCTCCAGGTGCAGGCCCAGGGCCAGGTGCGTGGGGGCCCAGGGCAGCACTCAGATTAGCGGGCGAGGCAGAACTTGCACGGGTCAGAGTTACACAATGCTGCCGAGAGAGCGGCAGGAACCTGGCTCAGCGACTCTGAGATTGGAGGGGCCTGGGGAGCCTTCACCCCTGGCCTGAGAGCTGGTGTCCTTTACATGATTTAATGCCTGGCAGGTGCTGGGGGTGGTGCCTGACATACATTAAGTGCTTCATAGACACTGGCTCTTGTGTTATTCTTTAGTGCTCATAACCAGGGATGGGGGAAGTCTCTGAGCTCCCTGAAATTGCATGTACAGTTTTTTTATGTAGATATGTATATTTCTTGGGGAGGGGCATGGCTTCTAGTATATTCTACCTCCAAGGGCTTCTCTGACACCCCGTGAGGCCAGGCTCCCCAGGACACCTTGGATTTTAGTCAGGCTAGTTGCTTCACCTCTCTGGGCTGTTTCTTCATCTGTGCAAAGAGGGAGCTGGATAAACAGCCGCCGCCTGAGATGCTTCCAGCTAACGTTGTGGACAGGCTGTGGATCAGTTTGGCTCTGCTCCTCCTTGATGCGACTAAGCCGAGGGCAGACCAGGCAGCTTTTGCCCAGGAAACATGCTGGGATCCCTGCCTTTGAACGTTACATCGTGAGCACCACTCTAAGCTTAAAAGGGTCCTGAGCAGGTGAGCGGGCCCTTCTTGCTAGAGCAGCGTCTCCCTGACCCCTCTGCTGCATTTCTAGAGTTCGATCTGGTCCAGGCCTTCTGGGTCTCTGAGGAAAGGGAGGCTGGCAGATCCTCAAAAGCAGAGAGTGTCATTATAATGGAAACTTGGACACTCTCCAGAATTGTCTTTGTGGTAAAAATATTGAAACAGGCAGTCGAGTCACCCAGGTGCCTGGAAAGTACCCCAACATGGGCAAATAATTAGATTACAGGGCAAGGGTAATTATTTTTTTCCTACACTATTCAGGAATCTGGTGGTTTCATGGCTTCTCTTGAAGCAGAATATGTACCTGCTGGCCGCTTTGCCCCCTGTAGTCAGAAAGATAGTGGTGTGCCCTCTGAGAGGGAGAAAAGGCCACAAGAGGTGGCGATTCCATCTCTCCCAGGGCAGCCCTGGATCTCAGGAGAAGTTCTGTTCTCTGCTGTACCCTTGTAGGGAGCTGCCCCGAGGGCCTGGGCCTGTGGCATATTTGCTATGAGGTTGGAAGGTGCATTTCAGAGTCTGAGAGTTCTGTGAAGGTATTCTGTTGTCTCCATCCCTCATTGAAAGGGGTCTGGGCAGCTCTGTCTGCCCTTGGTGGCACGTGTTAAGGGACTCAGGCTGAATGACGTAAGTTCAGCCAGCACCTTCATCTCCCAGTCAACCAAATGTTTGGTGCTCACTGCGTGGGTGTTTTTGTAGCCTGGGTGTTGAATCCTGTAGACTCTTGGAAGGGCAGCATAGGTGGTGGGGTGAGCCTGGGCACCACGCTGACCTGGCTTCAAGCCCCTCCTGTGTTTCTTTGCTCCATTATCATGACCCTGGGCAAGTGGTTTAATCTCCTTATGCCTCAGTTTCCTCATCTGTAAATGGGGTTAATAATCTATACCTTACAGTGCAGTTTGAGTACCAATAGTACAATTTAGGGTTCAAGGGAGCTCCCCAAATGGAACCCCTCTTTCCTGGGCAAGTTCTGAATAAAATAAAATAAGATAAAAATGTTTGTTCCTGACTGAAGTGGGCATTGGAGAATGTGATTGAACCTGTAGGCAAGTGGGCATCGCAATCCGAAAGTGAGAACTGTGACTTCCCCTGAGTCAAAGGCAGAATGGAAAAGTGGCAGGCTCTCTCCGGGGCAGCCCCATTCCTCCCCCGGGCAGCCAGCAGGGG